CTCAACTCTAGTCCGTGCTATTTCTGCCAGGCCCCTCATCAGAGAAGAAGGAAAGTCTCAGGCAAGCGTCCTTCAGAGCTGGAAAGACAAAACGCCCGCAGCATAACACACTGGGGAAGAAATGTGTTCGTTTAGAAGCTTGGCTCTCCGTAGGCCCATCAAATATCTTCATGGCTGCGTCATTTCAAAGGAAAATTAAAAAGTACTTCATGCCCCAGTTATAGCAGATGAAGAAGTCAAACTCTAACTCCAGCAGCAGAGGCTGTGAAAGGTCATTGTTGGCCCAGGTTACCACCAAGATGTCTAGAAAGAGAAGGACCAAAGATACAGATGGCATGGATTCACGGGAGGGCCTCAAACCAGAAAGGTATGAATGAGGCTGACGTAGCTTAGGAGCCGATGTGTGTGTGTGTGTGTGTGTGTGTGTGTGTGTGTGTGTGTGTATGTGTGTGTGTGTGTGTGTGTGTGTGTGTGTGTGTGTGTGTGTGTGTGTGATCTCCCCACACTGTAACTTCCTAGCAAACAGAAGTGGCACCATCCATTTTGTGGAGCAGTAGACTTGTTCATGACTGAATACGTGAATGGAAGACGAAAGATGGCCAGGTGAGCCAATGAGGGCGCATTCACAGCGGAGGTCACTTGTTCATCTGCCTCAAAAATCATCTCCAGATGAACCCGTCCTCAGTGAGGAGAGTCTGGAACTTCCTTCGGCATGGTTGGAAGCCCATGCCCGGTCCATGGGCTGTCCACATGCATGCACAGTGGTAGCTACCAGTGAAACATGCTCCCTACTTCCTCCTTCCAGCCCCCACCCTGAGACTCCTCAGTGTGCTGTCAGAGAACCAGCTAACTACGAGGCTGCTGGTGACTCAGGCCCACAGACACATGTGCAGCGCTGGGCTGCATGTTGCCTTGCACAACGGACTCCCAGTGGGGCTGTGGTTCCAGCGTGCGTGTGCCCGCCTTGAGTGAAAAAACCCGAGGGGAGCGGGAGGTGCTGAGTTCAAGCCTCGGTACTGGCACAGAACATGACAAATAACTTCTCCTGGCTTATATCTTATTGATGCTGACTTTAAAACCACGCTGCATAAAGTCAGATCGACCTCTGCGAAACCTTTGTGATGAATATTTAATAAGATGGAAGGCTGGCAAAGTCCAAGTGTCTGGACAAGCCCTTGAATGTCTTGCTCGGGGTTCTGCATTTGCACAGGCTTCGAGCTACCTCTTGATCCATTTCTTAAAGAATGAGAGAGGGGCAAGGGCTTGAAGTCACCCCCAGGGCTGCATGTCGATGTACCACGCTCCATGTGGCATGTGAAAAGTGTTTTCCCCGTGACATCATCATTGCAATCATGTTTTGAAAACACAGGTCCTGTTTCACAGCAATTGAAAATAAAGTGGTTATATTTCTTAAGAAAAAAAAAAGAACAGAGTAAAATGGCAGACATCAAGACACACCTTTGTCCTGATGACTGTGAAGGGAATTTCCAGGACACTGACAAACGTCTGTGAGACTCCATAGCTCTGGGCAGATGGTGGAGAAGGACACAAATGACCTCTCATCGATTCTGATCTTGTCAGGCCTTGGCGAAGATGCACAGCAGCTTGACAGGGAGAAAAGCTAAATGCCACAGAAATGCATTTGTCAACCCCAGAAGGGGTTCTGAGAAGTTGCACAGAACAGCTTCCATCTCTGAACCCAAAACAGCCATCACTTCCCCAGTGCAAATCTTGTGGGTGCACGATGTACTTCCCCCATCTCCAACAGCATCAGCTAAAACTGCTCGAAACCACGCAAGAGAAACATCCGTGTTCATGGCCCAGGCCACTGTTTGAAGGCTGCGCCATCTTTACCCCTTGGCCTACCAGGCTCAAAGTGCTCACGCTCCTGTCTAAGCTCCATGGTACTTATAGTACTTTTGCCAAGCTCTGCTCTAGAACAAACATTGGCAACCCGGTCACCCGTCTCTCACTGAGGGTCACTTCCGAGCTGCTGCCCTGACCTTTGGCATTCTCAGGGTCACACAGAACTGTGCACTGTGACATCAGTGGCTGCAGGGGTCAACACTGCCCCTCCGGGGTGGCCACCAGCTGCCTGGGCATATGGCACAGTCCAGTGGCACAGCCAACAGGAAGACCATGCCCCCTCCCCAGCCTCTACACAGAGTGCCAGCAGTGCTGCGGTTCAGGGTGCTGGGCTACCCTAAAACTTATCAGGAATTCCATTCTAGTTAGTCAGGAAGGAAGGAAGGAAGCCATCTAAACTAAGCACAGAGAACATAAAGACGTAGTGATGTGAATCGCAAAGAGAGACGGTCAAAGGTCCACGGCTCCAGAGACCGGAGCTCAAGCAGTGTCCATCCATTCAGCTGGTATTTACTGAGCATGACTGGGCACTAGCATCGCCACTTCTGGGCTGTGGTTACTGATCCAGATCTGCACAGCTGTAGGGACTGTAGGGCTGTCCCCATGGCTGACAGGTGCTCGCAGAACAGCAGCATGCCATTTAGTTTGAGAACACTCAATGGAGAGCCTGAAGACCGGAACTAAGCATTATGAGAGTCGGGGATACAGCCCGCTCATGCCTGCGGGCTTCCTGATTCTCACCAGTGAGCAAAGATCGTTTCTGCACAAAGACTTCATTTATCCAGACATGACGCCAACACAGTTCATAGTTGCTCACTTAGATGATCTCAGCCACTACACAGTGTCTGGTAGTCCCCAAACTTAGTCTGGAAATGGTGACCAGCATTCTCACTAATCAACTACATGCAGGATAACTAAAAGGTGACAACTATGGTTAGGACCCCTGCCCTGGAGACCACAAGCACAACTTTTCCTGCTGCAATTGCTTGTCTTCCCATACGTGCATGCACACACGTACCCGTGCATGTGCATGTGTGTGTGTGTGTGTGTGTGTGTGTGTGTGTGTGTGTGTATGTGTGTGGTTTGATTATTAAGAACAAGCAGTAAGAAATGAGTACCAGACCTCCTTGCAGATGGATGAGCTTGGCCCTGTTTTCTTAGTTGGGGGAAGATGGCAAATGGCTCGAGCACTGCCCTAAAACCTCTTCTGCTCCATGAATAAAACATGAGTGTCTCTAAATTTAAACTTAAAACCAAATTAATTCATCAAAATGTCAGTTGTCACCTACAGCATTTTAGGAGCAGGGAAAATACCTTGGAACACAGAAGAATCCTCACAGGACCAGAGTGGGTGGCATTGAAGGATTTTATCCACATGCTCACAGTTGTCATCCTGTTTTTGCAGCTATTTATCCCTACAGAGAGGCCTGGAGCAGAGGGAGCTTAAAAATCTTGCTGATAGCACAGCAGCTCATTTGTCACGCACCTTTCCCTGGTCTTAATGATAAAGTATGCTCTAAACATGGTCCCGGAGGCCTGGTGACCCTCCAGCAGCCAGAATTACAAACCTTGGTAGTTCTCTTCCCACAGAGCTGGGCACAAACAGAATTACAAAGACAAGCCTTCTGACAGCATCTGGGACTCACAGAAGATGCCACATACAAAGCCTGTGAGTTTGGGGTTTGTTTTTTGAAAAATCATATTCCTAAGTTATAAAGAAAGCAGAGAATGGAAAGAGACTGAGACTTACTTTGTTCTCAGTGAAATTCAAACTCCAGATATCAAAATGGAGTGGTACCCTGGCCATACCTAGGAGAAAACTGGTTTTCTGAGAGTTTCTATTCTTTTCCATCTTACACTCAGCAACACTATTCAACTCCCAAAGAGAATATGGTCCCTTGTTTCTTCTGCTTTCAAAAGTAATCTGAAAGGTTTGTTCTGAGTTAAATGCAATCACCACAGTCCAGGAAAGACAACTCACAGCAGGAAAACTGAACATCCACACCATGATTCTTTTTCTAGCAAACAAAGACTACCAAGCTGGCCGCTGTCCTGCTGACCTCTAGCTCACCACTGCTGACCTTAGGTCCTGTTCCTGAAGGTTTAGGAAATCACTTAAATGCAGGCTGCAGACTTTCAGGAGTCAATGTGACTATGGTACAAAAGCGCAATCTTTGTGCCTGGAGACCCGTAAGTGATGTTGCCTTGAAAGCAAGAAAAACACCAGAGGCACTCAGCTGTAAGTCCAGTCTTTCCTAACAAATGAATGAGCCTGGGGCCTGACCCACCTCCTACATGGACAGAAGCTGCAACCCACAGGGCCTTCCTCTGCATCCAGCTACAGCCAGGAGCCCCTCCATCACCAAACCTCTGCTTTGTGGTGGCCAGCCCTGCCTTCCAAAGGCAGCAGGAGAAATCTCCACTAAGTCAGCCCAGGTGATATCTGTGTGACTAACTCCACAGCCCACCAGCTGAGACCCCTGCAAGCACCTACCGGCCTGGGCCGCACTCCGGGGTACTTGTGCCAGTTTCTAGAACCATTCCTAGGGAAGCGCAAAGCCGGGGAGGCAAAGCGAGGGCGGATGCCAGGAGCAATGGCCCCCCACGCCTGGGAAACGGCCATACCCTAAGCCTGCCTCCTCCGCCATTCTAGCAGGGTGTGAGCCATACCACACATCCGGACCCCAGACAGCCCCACAGCGCTCACCGCTGGAGTCCTAGGAAGGAGGCGGAGGGCTAGCCTGGTGGGAGACGCTGCTGTGGGCCCCCAGCCGCGAGGGGTTCACAGGAGGCTGGACCGACGCTGAACCCAGGGGGTCGGGGCAGGGAGAGGCCCCGTCAGTGTGCCCGTGTGCGCCCGTGTGTGCCTGTGCGTGTTTGCACATGCGCGCGAGTGTGTGCGTGTGCCCTGAGTGCACGTGTGAGTGCACGTGTGAGTGCCCGTGTGTGTGCACATGCGTGCGAGCAGGCGTTTGCACGTGTGCACGCGCGTGTGTTGTGCCCGTGTGTGAGCATGTGTCCATGTGTGCACGCGCATGTTCGCACTGCACGCGCGTGTGCCCTGTGTGAGTGCGTGTGAGTGCGTGTGTGCCCGTGTGTGTGCGCGCGTGCGCGCGGGGCGGGCGCGGCCTTACGTGTGCAGCGGGCTGCCCAGGGCTGGTAGCCGTAGTAGCCGGTGATGCGCAGGATGCGCTCCTCGATGGACGAGAGCCCCGCGGGCGCGCTCAGGTCCTCCACGGAGCGCGACCAGCGCAGGTCCTCCTTGATAGCCTCGTCCACGGCCAGGTACTTGAGCTGGCGCAGCTGGGGGCTGATGTCCGACAGCCTCCGCGGGCTGACGTCCGGGGACCTCCGCATGCCGCTGCGGGACGGGGCCGCGGTGAGGCGCGGACCGGGCGGGGGCGCGGGAGGACGCCGCCAATCCCCGGGGCCGCGCGTCCCTGGGGCGGAGGCCCCGGCCCGGCGGCGACCTTCCGGGCTCAGTCCCGGCTCCCGTCCCGGCGGCCCGCGCGTCCCCGACCCCCGCCCTCCGACCCCCGCACCCCGACTCCCGCTCCCCGACCCCGGCCCGCGGCACTCACGTGGCGATGCCCTTGCCCCGGGGCGCGCCGCCTGGAAACTCTCGGATCCCCATAGGCGACGTCGGCGGTGGAGGTGGCGCGGGGCCCGGGTCGGGGCCGGGGCGCCCGCCAAGGGGCCGCCCGCCCGAGCGCGCCTCCTCGCGGAGACGCCCAGCGGGTCCGCGGCGCCCACCCAGCCCCAGAGCCCCGAGCGCCGAGCGCCGAGCGCCCAGCGCAGCGGGCGCGGGATCGCGAGGGCGCGGGGAGCCGGGGCGCGGGGAGCCGGGACGCGGGGATTGGGAGGGCGCGGGGAGCCGGGGCGCGGGGATCGGGAGACCACGTCCCGCCCAGCCCCAAGATCCGCTCAGCTCTGCTCTGATCCGACTCTGCTCCGCGCGGCGGCGGCGAGGCACCTGGCGGGCGGGGAGGGGCCGGGTCGGAGCACCGGCCAGGCGGGGGCGCTGCGTCCCGCTCCGTGCTCCGAGCCCGGCCCTGTCCCCCGCTCGGCTCTGCTCCGCGCTCTGAGCCCGGCCCCGCTCCCCGCCCGGCTCCGCTCCGCGCCCGGCCCCGCTCCCCGCTCCCCGCCAGGCCCCGCTCCGCGCTCTTCCCCCGCCACCCGACCTCAGGCTGGCCTCGGGCGCGCTCCCCCGTCCACAGGCCGGGCGCTCCGGGACGTCTCGCCGCGCAGACCCGTGGCACGCGCCCTACAGGAGCGCAGCGCCCGGCTGAGGCACCGCACGGCCCGCAGGCCCGCGCGCAGGATCCCGGCGCGGGCGCGCAGAGCACCGACCTGGTGGTGGTCCCGGCAGGGCGGAGCGACCTCCCACTGAACAGAATGGCGGCCTCCCGGGGTCTACCTACCCCAGACACCCCACTCCGCGTAGCCTCTGTGCTTCTTTGTTGGATTTGGGTGTGTTTTTTTAGTTTTTTAGGGGTGTGGGGTTGAGTTTTGTCCCGTCCACAGCCCTTCTCTTCAGTTCTTCTTGTTGTTGGGTGCAAACTAGGAAATACAGAAATATGTGGGAAAAAATACACATTATCCAGCGCCACGGATTTCTAAATGTAGGCCATTCCAATCTTTTCTATAAAACAAAATCCAATTGCACACATTATTATCATTGCTTTTTTGAATTAAAATTGTTACTCAGAATCTGAGGGTAACTTTAACTTGAGAAGGAACATTTACAGTGGGTGGAAGTGTGGCTCAAGTGGTAGAGCATCTACTTTGTGGAATACAAGGCCCTGAGTTTAAATTCCAACACACATACATACACACACATGCATACACACACACAAACACACTCCAGTGGTCTTCCACTGGTGAGAAATGATAACATTTTCCTGCCAGGGATTCCTCCCCGTGGCTCTTTACTGTGAGAAACGATCAATCTCCTGCCAGAGATTCCTCCCATGGCTCTTTTTCAGCATCCAGCTGGGTGCTCCCAGCTATTGAAGTTTGACAAGAAAAGGAATCAAAGTCATGCCAATTGCAAGAGGAAGAAAAGGAAAGAGAGAGCTGACTCCATTATCTTCTGCAGATGACATGACTGTTTATGTGGGGGAAAAAAATCTCAAAGGATGAACCAAAACAAAAACAACTGCAGAACAAATAAACACTTTCAATGAGGAAGGAAGCCTAGTTAATTGATACACAAAACTCAACTGCTTACCAGCAATGACCAGTTGGAATCTGACGCTTGAGACATGATGCTATTTACCTGGGCATGCCTCAAAAGCGAATTATCTAGGTACAAATACCACAAAATGTGCTCAACACCTGGGTGGGGACAATGACAAAGTTCAGGTGAAAGAAATCCAACAGGAACTAAGTACATGGAAAGACATCCCACCTTCATGGAAGGAACAATGCCACATTGTTCCCATGTCAGCAAAGGGTTTTTTTTATTATCATGCTAGCTGATGTCACCACCACCACATCTTCCCCAGTCTTATTAAGGTGTAACTGATGCATAAAAATTCTGCGAGTTGGGGTTGTGGTAGAGTGCTTACCTCACATGCATGAGGCCCTGGGTTCGATTGCTCAACACGTCAGCACCAGCAGAAAAAGCCAGAAGTGGTGCTATGGCTCAAGTGGTAGAGTGCTAGCCTTGAGCTGAAATGCTGAGGGGCAGCACCCAAGCCCAGAGTTCAGGCCCCATGACCAACAGGAAAAAAAAAAAAATCTGTAGGTTTACAGTTTAGAGTGCGATGTTGTGATACACATGAGCGTTGTGAAGTGATTGAAACTAATTAGCACATTTAACACCTCAAATACGTTTGTGGTATGTGGGCGAAGAATGGTTTTAGGGTGCATGGTGCAGACAGGGCATGTAGAGGCTGGCGGGGCCTATAGTCACCACCACCAGTTCCAGGACACTTCCTTCTGGCACACCTGAGCCACTGACCCTTTCAAAGACCAAGGTCAACAGTGCTGATCTCCAGTGAAAAGCTTTCAGTTGCCTCTCGCTGCTGCTTTAAGCCAGAGACCCCAATCCTCACCACAGTGCCACTTGAGCTGCTCCTGCTCTGTGCTCCAGGAAGCCTTGGCCAATCCTTTCTAGAGTAGAGGCACTGCCCCCACAGCCTTGAGTTCAAAGCCTTGCTCTACCACTGAAGACTCCATGAGCCAGGCATGCTTTGCTTTCACTGCGACCCTATGGCCTAAGGAAACTCACAAGTGAGTGTTAAATGAATGCGGGGGGAGGGGGGGCGGGTAGAATGAGGTTTAAACTTTAATGGACACCAAGAGCTGTGGGGAATGAAGCACACAGGTTCCCTGCAAGATTGATTTGGGCTTTCTGCTCCTGTGGGTAATGCAGGACTTTCCCGAAGAGGAGGCAGGGCTGGGGCTACCCCTTTCCTCCCAGCTTCTCTCGCTGTGGCTCCTCTTCTGTCCTCCTGGTTCACCCAGGGCAGGTGGTGGAGCAGCAGATGCTCCTGATTTCTGAGCCAGTCACAGCCCAGACATCCCTTGCTGTTCCCAGAGAGCACCTGCCAGTATTTGCTTCCAAAGATGCAGCTGTGGGGATGTGTGTCTTCAGCACACGTGTGCAAAGTATATGGGTGATGCAGATAGACAGGTGATAAATACACAGGCAGAAAAATGATAAATAAGAGATATCAGATAAGAACATGACAGATAGATAATAGATACAGAGCTTGATAGATGGTAGATAAACAGGGGATAGAAACATATTAGATAGACATATTGAGATAGATAATAGAGGATAGAAATAGGTGGATAGATAATATAGGACAGATAGATGATAGGTATTTAATACATGGCTCTGGCTCTCCTTCACCTTACATCTTGTTCTCTAATAATTCCCGCTGCCGCTGTGTACAGCAATCCTGTGTGTAAAAAGGCTCTGCCTCACGCACCACAGTGCCCCCCATCCCTCCACTGCATCCTCCTCATCCCTCCATAGTGCTCCCCCTCATCCCTCCACAGTGCTCCCCCTCAGTCCTCCATTGTGGAGCAGGACCAGATGCTCCCTGCATTGGCCACTCCATGTTGTACACTGTGGCACCTGGGAGAGTCAGGAGGTGCAGCCACTCATCCCATGCTTCCAGGCTGCTGCATGGAGGAGTTCCAGCTCCCGCCTGCTCAGGTCTGCTCCTTCCAGCCCCTGGGGAATCCCTGGCCCAGCACACACATTCCACACACCTCAGTCCTCCTCGGGGGTATGCTAGTGCTTCTCGCTCAGAGCTGCTGCCTCAGAGAACTGGGTCCCTCCTGGAGAAGCAGGGAAGTACAGGATACACTTACGCGCACATGTATACACACACACACACACACACACACACACGTACAGGTTTGAGAACAGGTACAGGGAACACTGGGACCTCATGGAGATGAGATGCTGCAGTGGCTCCAGCTTCTGTGTTCACCAGAGGCCCCGCACTGAAGGTTTGGTGGCCTGTGTCACTCTTGAGGGTTGTAGCCTCATGGAAAGAAGCAAGGTCACCAGCAGTGGGTGGCAAGGGACACATATGATCTCTTCCACCTCATCCACCTCTTCCCCTCCTCTCCTTCTGCCTGCCAGCTGCCCCAGGGACAGCGATTCTGTCTGCCATGTGGCTCTCAGTTGATAGCTCCCCACCCCCTCAGCCCCAGCACAGAATGAAACCCCTAGGAGACCACAGCTAGCTGGAAGCTAGCAGAACCTTCCGTGCTTAGGAGCATGCATGGTCCAGGCTGGTCACTAACAGAAGAGAGGACAAAGGGCATGGCTTAAGCGGTAGAGCACTTACTGAGCAAACGCAAGGTTCAAACACAACTGCTGAGAAAAAAACAACAGGTCTGATGAATAGTCCGGTAAATCCTGCAGCAGAATGCTGGCAGATAACAGCGTTCAATCTCATCTCCTTCCCTCCTGGCCTGGGAGGCACGCAGGGCAGAGACCAGGCTGCGCAGAGACGTCCAGGACCAGGGCTTGGGTTCCCTCCAGATCTGGGTCAGTGTGTCTGGCACTGTGGAGACTTCCTGGCAAGGACAGGAGACCCATGGCAGGCTGGGCTGGGTGGGGGCACATTTCCCAGCACCTCAGAAGAAGGCTGTGGAGTGCTCACATGGAAGGCAGCGGCTTGGGTGCTTCTGGAAGCTCATGGACCTGAGAAGTTCACTGTGTGCCTTGCAGAGCTGGCAGTTTTGTACAGACAAAGGAGTGAGGGAGAGGCAGGGAGATAGACAGTCAGACAGACAGACGGACAAGGAGACCACAGAACTGGGAGAGCTATGACGTCTCTAAGAGACTGCTGAGGGCAGATCCTTGATGAGGAGTTGAGGACGAAGTAAGTCATTGGTCAGTAGCAATAGCTGCCTTCCGGTGGGTAGGGAGGGGAATGTGGGGGGCAGTAATATGCTCCACAGAGGATACTGGCCCCGCCCACCACCCTATAGCAGGGACCCCAGGAGACTCAGAGAATGCTCCTGAGCTGCAAGCTGGCCACTGCCCTCACAGGCCAGGTACCTCCTTCCAGGGGAAGCGGAAGAGGCACAGACCTCCATAGCCGTGGCTTTAACTCAAAAGGAGACTGCTTCACCAGGAAAGCAGAGGCACCGTTGACCAGA